TGCACATTTAGCATGATTATGGGGAAAGACTTTAAGTTGACATGCATGCATTCTCATGTTCTTTTGTACGCCCTGTTACATTAACTTACATTCATACAAATAAGCAAACTACACACACACACACACACACACACACACAGGCTGTTAGGGTTTTCAGCATCATGATTCAGTGGTGCCGTGATACAGTAGCTGTTGACCGCAACAATTTGTCTTACCTCTCCGGACTGTGAGCCATCAGGCACAGAAGGACCTTCTGGGGCAGGCGGTAACAACGTTGGCGTGAACATCTAAACAGATTCATGAAAGTGCAACAGAAAAGAATGTGGATGAGTAGCTGTTCGGCTTTGTACTTCATGTTGAATGCCAAAATATAATTTTTAATATTATTAAATTATTCCTTAAAGTAAAAGTTTTATATTATTATATTTATTTTATGGTAAACTTACTATGTGAACTGTTTAATAATAACAAAGAGATACCTGTGGAGCAGCGCTGGCGTTTGGTGAATTCTGCTCCAGATTTCCTCCTTCACTGCCCTCTAGAGGTTGTTGATCATCAGGCGCTACACAAGGGGGATACAGAAAAAGATCTCATTACTTCAATCCTTAATTGTACTGCAGCTTCTCCTTCCAAAATAAACAAGAAAGTCCACAACCATCAGGGGTGCCTTGTTTATTTTACAATCATCATGTAACAGTTTGTACCTGAACACATACCTGAACTAGGCACAAATAGGCTGGGGGGCATGGCCATTGGTGCCAAAGGAGCAAAGATATCTGCAGGAGCAGGGGCTGATCCACCTGGTTTAGCAGTTCTGCTTGGGTTCAGAACATCCACATATCTGCTCCTTGTGCCTGAGAAGAAAGAAACACATCTGAGTGGTAAGAAACGTGTGTGAATGCTGACTGACTGCTTTTGTTGAGACAATTATTACGTATGGTGTCTCCTTTATTTTCCCACAACTTGTAACTCAACTGTCAAAAGTATCACGCAGTGTCAAGCATAGTGTTTGTGAAGCCACAAGCCACAGCATCTAACACTCATCTTACCTGCCTTCCTGGAGAACATGTTGACAGGAGGACCGCCACTCGGTGGTGCGGCAGGCCCTCCAGGGCCAGGCATCTGAGGCATCATGGGGAAGCCAGAGGGAGGTGGTGGAGGGGGCTTACTCTGACAGATTATAAGAAAACCATAAGATCAGACCTTGTTGAGCTATAAAGATTTTAGTTTCTCAGTTTAGACCAGTCAATTATGTCTTGTAGACCAATTTTACAACATTACAGACCTCCTCTTCAGGCTCATTCAAGTCGACCCATCTCTGCTTTTTTTCATCCCACACAATCTGACAAAAAAAAACATAGTGCTCTATCAGTACTGGTCATATGTAAATAAATATGTATGCAAAAATGTGAAACTGAATACAGAGGAACACTATAATAAGACATGCACATATAACTGCTATAACTTACAGATTTGTTTTTGTCATCTGGCAAGTGAGCCTCATTCTTCCCCTTCCTATAGAGCCAGTTTAGCCAGCCACCACCACCAGTCTGTGTAAAAGATATTGTACTAATCACTAGTGAACGCTTTAGGCGCACCGATAGAACATCTGAATGATTCTGTGTGAATATGAACCTTTTTCGGGGAGTCTTTTTTGACTTTCTTGGCCTCTTCTTTGCGGGGCTGTTCAGGAATTGAAGGCGGCGGTGGAGAGGCCTGCTTGGCAGACGAGTTGCTCCGCTCTCTTCCGCCAGAGTAAGTGGAAGATTCAGAGGTGGTGCGAGAGCGACGTCCTGAAGTCTGCAGACCAGAAAATACCGCTGAGATTAATATATACATTTCTATTGAGCCTCAAGAGCAAGACCTTGTTTTTGGGGTGCCTTGACATGGAAAGGCTTCCTGTATTCCATTTTCTCTAATTGTGTATGGAAGCTATTTCATACCATATGCCATTATTGCATTAATTTGTGATACTGATGTTGAATTCCTAACTTGCCTGCATATGCTGCTACCAAATCAAGCTGTAGGTTTTGTCAATGTATACAAAAATACTGCATACATTTTCCAGTATTTTTCTTTTTTACTGTCCATCTTGAGTCCGACAACATTCAGTAAATTTTCTGGAAACTAAAGCAAAGTTAAGATGCCATGTACGATTAGCTGTGCAGCGCTATATACTGCGCACATGAGCAAAAACAACCTGCTCCATAACGGTTCTGAAAACAGGCTCTGGACAGATTAAACAGAACAACCCTCAGATATAAAGTCTTTTAGCAGTTTATATCTGACACACACATACACACCATATGCATTGAAGATTGTGAAGCAGTCCTCGATCTCCTCCCAGGACCCTGCAACGCCAGAAAAGACAATGTTGGTTTTCTATAAAATCTACGCAACACAAAACCAAGTGCACTTCTATGGAGAGAGAATTGATGTGATGGTGCTGAAAGACGGAAGGACCTTTTATGTAGATATTCTGACAGCCAGATACTGACCATGTGAGCCATGTGGTCATAGAAGTCCATTTTCGGTGTGAAAGAGCTTCTGGGTGGTGAGGATGATATTGGTTGACCAGTGTGCATCTCCGGTGGGGCCTGGGACATGTGCTGTCCGGTTGGCATATGCCCGGGAGAAGGGGGCATGTGATGAGGCATCTGGGGTGGTGGGTGGTTCATCCGTGTAGGTGAATTCGGCACCTGAGGGGCCATGTGTGGTGACATTTGACCCAGTTGAAGAGATGGGGGACATGGCTGCTGATGGGTTCCTGGATACATTTCTGACTGCTCAGGTTGAGGCTGGAAGGGAGGAGGGGCAAAACCAGGATCCTGTGGAGGGTAGCCTGAGATCTGGCCTGGTGGTCCACTTGGGGTTACGGGGTAGAACTGGGGCACATCATTTGAAGGTAAAGGCTGAGGAGGGGACATCCCATCTTGGAGGATGGAGGTGGGAGCTGAGAGAAAGTAGGAGAGATGAGATCTGATGCATTTTAAATCTGGCTCATAATAAAAAGGAGACCACATGAGCACTATTTGAAAAATGTACAAACCTGGGGGCATCAGCTGTACTCCCTGCGGTTGAGGACCGGGCAGTAGTGAGTTCATTAGCGGGTTGTCAGGGGTGGGGCCATCCAACTCCACAGGCATGTTGTAAGGTTCTGGTGGACTGTGCTGGTCCAAGTCAGAGCTGTGGCTGCTGCAGTCAAACTGTGTAGGTGTTGGTCTGCCTTCACTGTATGTAATCACCCCTGTCTAAATAAGTCCAGCATCGAACATTTGTTACATAGAAACTACCAGGAACCACCAACTAGTTACAATTAAGTCCAAAGAGTACAATGCCTGAATGCCTATACACACAACTAAATACTTTATTTAGAATATCCTTTGTAGTTATATGTGCAAATTTCTTTTTCCCTCCTCACCCTGATCTGTCCATCCAGCTGTCTGAGGTGGATCAGCCAATCAGGCTCATTGAACAACTCCTGCTCTGGCTTCTCCTTCAGTTGTGGATCAAAGAATCGCAGCTTCTCTGACATCTGTCAACAAAAAAACCCATTCAATTACATTGATTAGAATTCAGAAACTAGTCCATATCTATACATAGGCACAGAGGGAAAGAGAAGACAGAGAGTGAGGGCATACCTGTATGATTTGGCTAATGAAAACAGGGGAGTAGTAGGAAGGCTGCGTGAGGACAGTCCTAGAAATAACTTCACAGTAGTGGAAGGCCTGAGCACTCAGGCCGGCTTCAGCCAAGCGGCATGCATAGATCAACTTGAACACCTAATAAGAGACAATAGAAAGGAGAGAACAGTGTTATTCCTATGTAGTTTAATCTCAAGATGTTCTATGTGCAATGCAAACCTCTTTAAACCTCTTTAGTTGTCAGCACAGACCAGTCAGTGCAATAAATTAAGTTTTTAGGACACCTCTATAAGAGACAAACTGTGTGTTTATTGGATCATTCATTTGTCAGTAAAGACCAAAAAAAGTCCTACCTGGAAATTGGGTAGGGAGCACGGCTGGGAACCCAGAGACTGAGCATACTCATAGGCTTCAGTCCTTTGGATTGCTTCGTTGGTTGCAAATTGGTAAAAGGGCAAACTGAAGTGAAGAGACAAAGATAAGGTTATATGTGTGGCATATTACATGCAAACTGTATTGTGGTATGCGTGTGCCTGCCTCTGTCTCTAACCTGTGGTTGGAGCCAATAAGAACCATCTTGGTGCTCTTCTTTGTGAAAACTCCCAGACCAACTTGGGCCATCAAGTAGCAGAAGTGTGCAGCATCAATCAGCCCCTTTGAAGCTGCCACACAAAATCAGTGCAGACAGAATGTGACGTAACGTGTTTGTTTTTGGTGAAACATGAAAACCTTTTTTTTTTAGGTCAGTGCAGGAGAGATTTTTGATCCAATCCTACCGAGAGTGTCGCCCATGGTGGTGATTGTGCGAGTGTCCAGGTCCAGGGCCTGGGTGAGGTTAGACAGCACCATGGCCAGGTGAGGGCGCCAGTCACCCCATTTCTCCTCTCCGCAGCACTGTATGAATACAAATAAATATCTATACTAAAGTGGCATGCAGTACTGCACACTTGACAAGCACTACGTGTGCACCTTCTTCAGAATAATTGTGCAAAAATACCAAGTGGATTAAAAGGAAGAAGGGAGATGCAATACTTACAGTGGCCGATGCAGGCATCCTCCCTGACATCAGCTGGTATACTGTCTGGAGAGGGTCATTGATAGGCAAACTGTTGGCAAACCTAAACAACAAAGACAGACACATTAAATATTACAGTTTAAAATCTGTAAAAACAAACCGATCACGTGATAAAGTTGCAACCAAGTTTACGAGTCACAACCTTTTATGTCACCAGTACTTTACCTTGTCATGACACGTGCATGCGTCCTGTTGTCCATCTTACTGGCCAACAGCAAGGCGTGGCCCCACAGACCTCCCTTCATAGCTGCTTCTAGGGCATCCTATTCCAGAGAAGAGAAGAAGATACTTTTATTGTCACATACAAATACATGTTGCGAAATTCATTCTCTGCATTTAACCCATCCCTGAAGGGAAAGTGGAACTCATTTCAGATTTCATACGATATTAATTAAATGACAGTATATGTAATACAGTTAAAGAGAGTATTTTTTTACCTTCTTGCGGCCAAACAGCAGCAGCTCCCTGAAGCGTTCCGTTTCCTTGCCAATGTTCTCTGGGACAGTCATGAAGGTGTCCGATAAGAGGGATAGCGGTCCAGCTCCCGGCTCCTCCTCAGCTCGTGCCAGCGGTTCATTGTTAAAATCAATCAAGTTGGCTTCGTTAGGACTTTTGCCTGGTAGCCAGACAGAGCGGTGCTCCTTCAGCAAGAGGTCAGCGATGTCCGTGCCAACCACAGTCTTATTAGCAAAGAGTATCACAGTGAAAAAGTTGTTTCAGGCAAATATACAAATGTCACATTCCTTCTTTCTATGTCTGACAGATTTGCAGTTACGTCTGCACAGTCTTACCCCGTTCTGTCTACAGAGCAGCATAATGAAGTCCCAGAGCAGGCGAGCAGAGTCCCTGTCCAAGAGGTTGTTGTCACGAGAACACTCCAGGGCTTTGTTCTGGGAGAACTTTATCACATCCACCTTATGGGTCTCCTCCCTGAAGGACAGGACACAAGATGTGAGAGAGGTAAGCAGTGACTAATGAAACTAATCCTACCTGTTAGACATACTGATATCAAACCAGCAGAATGGTGATTTGCTTTCCACTTGTTACTCGTTTGCTAGTACTTAAATTCTCGACACATTTTAAGATCTACATTTTCAGTAGGAACCAACTGGCTTTGGACTGAGTGACACAGATGAGGAAAGTCAGAAAGTATTGAGAGACAGAATAATACATGTTGGTTTTGGTCTTTCCATGGAATTTGTTGACAATAACAAAAATACACAATTTTTCCAGCCTTGCCCTTTAAAATGTTAGTGATTCAAAGACATTTGTGGTGGATAAAAAGGGCAGAATACACTTACTTAACAAGAGGTCCAGGGAAGGCTCGTAGTTCTGCCTGATCTTGGGTATCCTGCAGCATGGTCTGCAAATACAGACGTGTTTCAAAATATTACTTTATACAGCCTAACACTGTAACTGCAAAAATGTGCTGCAGAAACACATGCAAAATACTAATCTTATTTATAATAATATTTATATGTGTGGTTTAAGATAATTTACCGTTATAAATAAGTGTCAATGTTCAGCCTTCTAAAGGAGAAGATGTGTCTGTATTTTTAATTTCCTTGAAAAAAGAGGAACTAGTGCTCTCAATGGCAGATCATCCCATTTACAACCACAGTATGTCAAACACTGCGAGCTGGACTGCTCCACCGATATTAATAATGATGATGATATTACAATCATTAAACACCCCTGAATCAGAAACACCTTTAACGGGCTTTTATTTTAAGGGAACCATATTCTGTTTTATTTTCCCACTGTGCAGACACTGAAACACTGATGATACTTTATAACTTACAGTATGGCATCAAAATAGTGTTTGTTTAAATTCTTTCTTGCTGTCGCTAGCTCTTCATAAACTAAACACAATGGATTAAAACATTCTACATTAAGGTGCTGAAATAAAATCTGTTAAAAATGTACCTCCATGTTGTAAATATCAACTAGAGCAGGCTGCCCAGCTGAGGGGAGATTGGGCAGAACTTGGACCAGATGACCACCAGGTCCAAAGCGGGCACAACGGTGGGGTATGGTAAACTTCTCTGGGGTTGCAGGACGAGGAGGAGCTGGAGGACAAAGCAGGATGGACAGGAAGGAACCAGTGTTTAATGTCCCATATCTAGTGGTTTAAATAGTATCTGAAATCCTTTACTATCCAATTACTAATCACTTAATGCCAATTTTCTTGAAACTAGGGATTGTATACTTACGTTGCTCAGGGGCAATCCAGGTGCTGTCTGCCGTGTACTCAGAGGGATAGAGGTACTGGCCGTAGTTCTGGGAAGCATCAGTCTGGTTCGGGTACTGTCCATAGGAGTAGTCCACAGCCAAAGTGGATGATGTGGTGTCATAGACTGCTGACACCAAGTCAGGCTGGCTTCTGTATACCTGACTCTGCAGGGTCAGAAGACAAACAGAGATAATTTTTCAAACAGGAAGACCAATGAAACATACATGCAAACACTCAGTTGTACAAGTCAGTTGCACAATTAAAGACCAACCAACAACCAATTAATACTTTTGCTTTCAGAACGAGCTGCTAGGAAGATATCTATATTTTAAGCCTATGCTGCTGAGATATAAATTGGGATGCTGCTGAGAACTTAATGCAAGTCACAATAGTATAAGTGTGGAGTAGATGGTGCAGCTGTGATAAGCATTTAGAGAGTGGAAGGAGGTTAGTCTGAATGTCAACACATTTCACTCAAGGTGTCATCATCTTACAACATAAAAACATGTTATGTAGCAATTATCAGCCATTCCAAAATATACGCTATGTTTCTACAGTATAGTGACCATACTAAAATCTAAGAAACTGTTTGAATGAAGCAGCTGAGGACCAAGAGAGACTGCTGAGACTGCTTGAAAGCATAGCTAATAGTAAAGAGCAGATGCTACAGGGGATGTCATGGAAAAGCAAGCACTAGCTGTGTGTGGCTGCACCCTTAAAAAGTGATAGTAAAACATAACAGAAAAAGATCCCTTAAAGCAATGGTTCCACTTATTGACTTTCTTGCCAAGAGAGAGATGAAAAGATTGATACCACTCTGATGTTTATAAATATGAATATTTGTAGCCGTTTCCAGTCTTGTAAGTGAATCTAACCAGCTGCTGGCTGTAGCTTCATATTTAGCAGTCCATGTTCTCACTCTCCAATTAACAACCTTAAAATAAACCAGGGGAAGAGTTTGTGAATGCAGGAAATTATACTCAACTTTTCTTTCCAGCTTCAGCTGTTTAAAAATTGCAGCTCACAAATGGATCCACAAAATCTCAAATTTGTTCCATCTTGAAACATGTTGCCCAAACTATTACCATACAATTAATTTCAAAGAGCATTTCATCACAAGTATCAAATATCCACAATCTGAACAAAGCCCATATCAAAGCCATAATCTTTAGAACATTGAAATTTAGCCATTGTAATGTTTCATAGCAGTGTCTATAATGTCAACTTATCTTTTTCAGAGAAATCCATGCCCGCCCATGTGGAATATAAGGTCACTGGGACAGCTTCAACAACAGCACTCTGTGCAGAAAAGATTCTTAGCAAGCAAGTTGAACAGTAATGTAAAGTATGATATAATGAAAGTAAAAGCAGTTAAATAAAGAAGCCCTCTAATGTCAACAGGAATCCTTTGCTGCATCAATATTAGAAAACCTGGAGAAATATTTATGAACGCGGTATAACTCCAAGATCATAGTTAAACGGATTAGGAGCTGAGACAGAATAACACAGCATCACCTGTCCTGATTGGCTGTCAAGTTAATACGATGGATGGGTTTTGCCTTTAGAAAGGAGGCTGGGGGTGGGGATTAGTTTTTAAT